ACTTTTGCACTCAGCCGTTGCTGTGGTTTTAAGTTTCAGCTGGACTGTCTGTGTTTCTCCATCCAGATGAAGAATATCTGAGATTGTTAAGGACTAGAGGTCGCCCTGACATAGAACCCTGGATCCAGCACCCTAGACTTTGCAAAAGGTGCTGGGACCCAGACTTGGGTTCGGCCCTATTTGAAATCCTCTTTGGTTATGGTGGAGGTTAGCACGCAGGCTGCGCTCAGCTCTGCCATGGCCATGTCTACGAGAATGCCTCTGAAAGGGATATGGACCTTACCCTGCTAGGCGCTGTACAGGCAAATCACGGAGCCAGCCAGTTCCATAAGCCAGCTCTATCCTGGCATGGGTTGGCTGCCCCGCTGCTCCTGCTGTGGGTGGGACTTGAACCCACCACCTGGCACAGGCGCTCCATGACAGAATAAACGGGCCCCCGGGTGGGGGTAGGAGGAGTCACAGCTGACATGCTCAAGGAAGCAGCTTGTTACTCAATGGTACTGACCGTGGCATCTCACTTCCCCATTCCGAGTCAAGGCAGGTCGGTGACGCGCAAACCCGACCTCTGACTCACAGCAAGTATTTAAGGAACTTTCCCTTCCCTTCTGCCCCATGTTGTTTCTGAACGTTCCTCTCTCCCTGCTCCTCCTCTGCCCCTGCTGCTCGAGCAACTCAAGGGCTCCCTCTGCTCCCTCTGATGTGACTGATGTGCCACAAGCTACCAATCTCCACTGTGATGTTTGCCCAAGATAAGGCAACCGTCTACCAGTGAGGGTGGGTAACCACTGGAATAAGCATCCAAGGAGTGATGGATTTTGCCTTCTCGTGTCTTCCAATTCAGATTAGCTGCCTTCTGGGAGACAGGCCCGAACACAGGTCAGCATAGGAGGCAGGGGGGAAATTCTACAGACTAGCCTTAATATCTACAAACTTCCCTTCCCCCTTTGTATCTCACACTTTCCTTTGCCTTCCCTCCTTGCCAGCCCAGTTGCCCGACCCTTCCTGCCCCCCCCCCTCCCTGCCGCTGCTGCAAACCATTTCAGTCTTGTGGGTACCAAAATCTGCATGGCATCAAATGGGTACAAAATGACGTAAAATAAATCCTGCTGCATTTCACAGTGCGTAACATTGGAGTGGGCACTGGCAGGGTCGCTGCACCGATGATCGATTTGTCATTTGCATATTTCATTATAAAACCCTCATCATTTGGATATGTACATGAAGCTGCTAGAGGCACAGTAGCCTGCTGCATAGGCACACAGCCCTGCTCCATCTCCCAAATCCAGGGACCATGCTGCTGAATTTCAGGCTAGCTTGTTGTGCAGCGGCTCGGCTCTGGGGATGACACCGTGGGACAAGGAGATGAATTATTCTGGGCTGGCCTGGGAACCTGAAGCAAAGAAAGGGGGAAATTTAGGCTAAACATGCAGCTGGGCCAAGTTCTCTGCTGGTGTAAAGGGGTGCAACTCATTGACTGTGGTCACGTTTCTTCACCCAGTTACACCAAGTGGGAATTTGCCCCCCTCTGAGGGTCTGTTGGCCTGTGGATCAGTCTCTGGCCAGGCTCCTATACCTCCCAGCCCACAGCTACAAGCATAGAGGGGGCTTATCAAGGTGAGAGGAAGTGGGTTGGAGTGGGAGTGGCCAGAGCAATCCTCACCTCATGTGTCATCTCCTGGGCTCTGGCCCAAACTCAGCTAGTGCAGGTTAAAGCAGATTCCAAGCTGCCTTGGCTTGTGCCACGCCCATGACTCTGATCAAACCCCACCAAGTCTGCAGTGTTGTGCAGCAGCTAGGCCCGGCTGAGAGTCTGCCAGCAATCCTACTGTAGCCTTTTGGGGGAGCTGGATGAGGCCGGAGAGGGCTTTCCCATCTCTGAAATTGGCTTCTGGCATCAGGTTTTGTTTTGGAAAGGAAACACGAGGGCATGTAACTAACTGTGAGGGCTCTGGGTGAATGGGTCAGACATAGGGATCAAACCTAGAACCTCCAGCTCTTCACACAGGAGCTCCTGCTGCCTGGACTAAGCCAAGGAGCAGCAGCAGCAGCACTGTCAGGGTGTGTCTAGACTACAGGGTTTTGTCAACAAAAGTGGAGTTTTGTCAACAAAACTATACCCGCGTCCGCACTGCCTTTGAGTTATGTCGACATAACGTCGACAAAACTCAGCAGTTTTGTCAACGTATGTAAACCTCATTCTACGAGGAATAACGCCTTTTGTCGATAGAGTTCTGTCGATAGAAGGCATTATTGCATCTACACTGTCCTTTGCGTCCACACTGTGATGTCGACAAAGCAGCTTGCTTTGTTGACAGAACTGGCTGTCGTCTAGACGCTCTTTGTCGACAGAAGCTTTGTCGACAGTATCTGTCGACAAAACTTCTGTCAACAAAACCCTGTAGTCTAGACATACCCTCAGACTGGCCTAGCTTTGGCTAGAGGGGGCCAGTATGCCACACTGAGTAGGCATGGGCGGTGGGCATTGTAGGCAAGGGAAGGTATTGCCTTTCCAAAACTACCTACAGTCCCCGGCCGCGGAGACGGCTGGGGCCAGGGCCATGGCACAGCAGCCCCAGCCCTCAACATGGCCGGCGGGATCAGGCTGGGCTGGGGCTGGGCTTGGCGAGGAGAAGTTTGCTGAAGGGGCAGATCTTTGGGTGGAAGAGGTGGGGCTGAGACTTGGCTTCCCTACCTGAGCCTTCGCCTGCCACCCATGCGTGTAGGCATCATTTCATTTACAGTAAGTTTGGAACCACTCCTGCCACAGTCAGTGGCTGATTCCCTGGCTTCTTTAGACCAATTTTGCGGCAGGAACAACCATCCAATGTCACCCCTTTCATGCACCCAGCTGGATGGGCCGTAGGGACCGCTCACTGAACTCGTCCTCTGTGTTTAATTGTTGAAGCAGATACACAGGCGGCAAGTGCTCCAGACACGGAGGAGAACAGATTGTCTCTGGAGGTACAGGACTCCTTCTCCTTTCTAGACAACCAGGACAGCTGGCAGGACTGTGGCACGGAAGGCGAGCAGCCAGAGAAGAGCTTGCTGGAAGAGTCCACCTCCGACTGTACTGGGGACATGCTGGATGGCTTCTCGGGAATGGATGATGACATGGAGTGCAGGTTCATGAATGTAAGAGTCCACCCGTGCTGAAATCTAGGTCCTGAGCTTTAGCGCCAATGGTGAGCTAGGATTTGTAGGAAGAGGGGAAGGGATGGCTGGAGGGATGTACTTGGGGATGGACAGAAGCTAGAAGGGTATGACTGAGGATTGACAGGCAGACGGAGGGGGATTCTGGGCAGGCAGACAGACATACATATGCTGAGGGAGAGAGAGGGCCATGGGCGGACAGTAGCTTGAGCGATGCATATAGGGATGGACAGACAGACAGATATGCATGCAGAGGAAGGGAGAAGAGGCATACCTAGAGGGATGCGCTGGGGGTGGATAGAGGGATGCGTTGGAGAGGAAAGGGGGGCATGGTTGAATGGACAGCTAGACGGCTGTGCCTGGGGATGGACAGACAGACAGAGGAGTGAGTAGGAGGACAGTAGGAGGCCCCCACCACTATATTTACCTGCGCCTCTGCAGGTAAAGGTGATTGCAGCTCCCGTTGGCCCATGGAATGCCATTCCTGGACAATGGGAGCTGTGGGAAGTGGTGTCCCGGTTCACACCTCTTTCCACTGCTCCCATTGGCTGAGAATGGTGATCCGCAGCAATGGGAGCCCTAACTGCTGGTACCTGTGGAGGCGCAGGTAAATATAAGCAACAGCGGCCTGTCAGGGGTTAACCCTGGGGAACTGCCGCCATTTCATTGCCCATCCCTGAGTTAAATAGACAGACAGGGATACATTCCAGAGAAAGAGACTTTATTATGCAGCTACCGCTTTCTCTAGGTGCATAAATTACAAGTTCTATACCCGGTTCAAATCAGCCCATTGTAACAGGTCCCTGCCCCCCATATGAACGCTGTCCTCCCATTACGACAGGCCATCTCTGTGGCCCCGAAAGGTTGGTAGGGAAGGAGCAAGACCCTCGCCTGAAGAGGGCCATTGCTGCTCACCCAGGCACCCCCAGCCAGTCTTCCTCACTCCCAGGAGAGACTGGGAAACCAGAGGGTCTTTGCATGGCAAAATTTGGCTGTGACAGGGCCAGGGGGGAAGTGAATTGCCGAGCGGAGATGCCTCCACTGAGAATCCCCTGCCAACCATGGCCATCTCCCTGCCCCCAAAACTAGAGGCTATTATCACCTCTGGCCATCAAAGCAAGGCCCCACGCCTGCCACCACTCTGCCAATGCCCACGCTCATGCCTGTGACGGCACCAGTGGCCGTGGCGCGAACAGCCAGGTTGTAACCATACTGCGTAGTGACCCTTTCACGTGCTTTCAATCCCTAGCCGGAGGAGTTCTCGGTGGAGCCGCCCCTGGAGTACCTCTCCATCGAGGAGTGCATGAACGAGGAGCAGTACTACCTGGCCCCTGGCTACGCCGACATCGAGGAAATCTCTGAGGACGTGTTCCTGAGTGCCTACGATGACTTGAGCCCCTTAGCTCCCGAGTTAGAGAAGCTGCGACAGTTCGATGCAGAGCACACATCAGAGCAGGCACAGGGTGGAGAAACGCCTCAGGAGCCGTTGTGCCACCAGCCCATGAGACCTGCTCAGGAAGGGTCATTACCTAGCAACGCCAATGGCTCCTCTTCGTCTAAAGAAGGCAGCCCTGCCAAAGCGCCTCTACCAGATGGTCTCCATGCTCCAGAACCTGCCAAGCCATACAAGAGCAAGGAGGCTGCCAAAGATCTCGGCGGTGCCCTTCGCCAGCCACAAGGGCCTGAGGAGAACGTGGCTGAAGGGGTGGCCGCCCAGCCCAGCCCAGCCCTCCAGCGAGAAGACAACACAGAGGTAATAGAGGGGGATGGCCTGGAAGCCAGCTGCTCGCTGCGCAGAGCGGGCCCTAGCCCACACAGAACTGAGCCCCCCATGGAGATAGTGCCAGCGGGGGAGCACCACAGCTGTCTGGAGAGCGCATGTCCCGCAGCCCAAGCCAGCCATGATGGAAAGGAGCAGGGGCAGGCCCCGAGGCTAAGGGAAGCAGAGCTGGCTCTGGGTGCTCAATGCAGGTCTGTCCAGGAGGTCGACAGATGTGCCCCAGAAGAAGAGAGAGAGCAGGAGGACCAAAGGCAAACTGCTCCTCCTGCACCAGAAACCAAACAGCCAGAGAGTGGAAAGGGCTCACCTCAGCCCCTCACAACGGAGGCCACCCCTGGCTCCTTGCTGGGGTCAGTGACTGAGGTCGCTGCTGCCCCCATGTGTGAGAGTGGCCCTATGGCCATTGCCCCCTTTCTAGAGTCAGACCTCGAGGCCGCTGCTATCCCCCCATATCCAAGTGATCCCCAGGCTTCCAGCTCCTTGCTAGAGACAGACCACGAAGCCCCAGCCGCCCTTGTGCATGAGAGCGGCCCGGAGGCAGCTCCCTTGCTCAGCACTAGCTTGGAGGTGACATCCTGGTCAGGCCCTTGGCTTGAGGCTGCCCCATCACTGGGGAGCGGCCCCACAAGCCTTCCCCTAGAATCTGGACCCCTGAGGCCCACACCCTCTCCCACTCCCCCCAAGCCTGACGTGCCTGCTGGGGTGCGCCCCGATGGCAGCGCCCCCATGAGAGTCACTGCCAGCAACGTCAGAGTCCAGCAAGTGAAGTCTGTCCCCGTAGTGCCCCCCAAGCCCCAGTTTGCCAGGATGCCTCCTACCACGATGATGTACCCAGGTGAGGCATCCACGTGGCCCAAGCCCTCTGCCTCAGAGAAGAGCTGCGACGGCACGTGCCTGCTGGGGTGCGCCCCGATGGCAGCGCCCCCATGAGAGTCACTGCCAGCAACGTCAGAGTCCAGCAAGTGAAGTCTGTCCCCGTAGTGCCCCCCAAGCCCCAGTTTGCCAGGATGCCTCCTACCACGATGATGTACCCAGGTGAGGCATCCACGTGGCCCAAGCCCTCTGCCTCAGAGAAGAGCTGCGACGGCAGGGAGACCCGCCTGGGCAAGGGGACTTCTCTCCAGAGGCAGGCGCCGCCCC